TTATTAATCAAAGAACATTTACTTGTGGTAATTTTATTTTTGCACAATTTTATTCAAGAAAGAAGATGCCGGTAAAGATGCATACAAATATGGGAAAAAGAATATCATGTGATAAATTTATCGAGAAAGATTATTTTCAGAGATTCAATCTCCAAGCGCCTGAAGGAATAATATTTGAAAGCCATATTTCAAATATCGAATGGCTTACTACAATATCAGAAGAAGACTCTACGGAAATTATGGAAGGAAAAGTTCTTAAATATCTTGAATAGAAGATTGCTAAAATCCTAGAGAAGATCTATTATTTTGTGCAAGATACTATATTGAAAAGATACTACAAGATCAAGAAAGGAATATTTCCAATATAAGAAGAATATATTTTCTATGGAAAGAAAATATATTATGAATATAGTACAATTTATTTTATGGAAAGAGATTATTTTTCAAGACCTACTAAAGGAACATTGGAGAATTATGGAAGAATGCTTCCTAAAGTTTTGAACAAGATCTACTACGTATGGAAGAAACGAATATTCTTACTACAATATTATAGTAAGAAATTATATTCCAAGAACCAAGAAGAAAATCACAGAGAATGGAATGAGGTTAAATATGGGACAAGATCTGCTAAGAAAAGGGCAAGAATCCAAAGGAGTTGTTTAATAAAGAGAATCCATTTTTTATAGGCAGAAGGATTAGACGTGAAATATTACAATTTCCATTAATGTGACTCAAGGAGAGATTATTTTCTTATGGAAAATAATTAAGGCTAAATATTGTCAAGAAGGATATATGAATCTGGACAAACATTCTAGTCTCATTTAACAAGAGGAGGTCAGCAGCACAGAGGTACAACATTCAAAAAGGAAAGTTCAACAAAGAAAAGATTATTTGTGCAATAGAAGCCAAGATTCAAGGAGATCAAAAAGGAGTCTAAAAGCCTAGAAAGAAAATTACTCGTGAGCAAATCATGGAAGAATTGGAAGGCTCATTAATACTACAAGCACCAGGATTATGCAACAACAAGGAAAGACAATCAAAATTACTCAAGGATCTTTGACTGCATCTCTTTGTACATTTAGATGGAAAGTCGTCCAATGGTCAAGAAATCAAGGGAAAATATTGTTCCAAGATTCAAGGAAGAAATCAGAAAACGGCTACAAGAAAGATCGGGAGAATCTTCAAAACTCTCTTGGATTATGCAAGGACAAGTTGAAAAAGCTATAAAAAGGAGCTCTACTCATAAAGAAAAGTGCAGCCTTTTATACAATTGTCTATCCAACTATAAGTTCTTTATTCTACTCTTAACAAGTATTATAATTCACTTTAGTAGATTTACTATGTACCCAAAAGAGAGAAGAGAGACAAAAAATATTGGAGAAGCAGTGTGTCCTAGAGGTTGTCATTGTTCGTTTCTTTGGTGAGCGAGTGAAAACCAAAGGGTCGTTGTTGGTGAGCGAGTGAAAACCAACCCTATCACCGTTGGTGGTGATCGCTGAAATCACAAAGGCTGTACTCAATTCAATTTATAAAGAGCTCTCAAAGACAATCAATTCTTGTCTTCTTACCTCCTATATATATTATCCGTATTCCCTTTTGTCCATCGGTCCTTAACCAGAATGCTTCATCCCTTGATTGTACTTCACGTGGCCCCCCTCGAATACCACGATATTTACTTCACCATACAGGCTTTCTGATGGCTCGATCTCCGCAATGGCCGAGGTATTCGTTGTTATTACACCTTGTGGGTACGACCACGGCCTAGTTGACTTCTTACCATTCCTGTTAGCACTAATCCACGTGTGGTCAGATTTTGACCCATACAATAGAAACATCTGCCAACTCAATATAGCAGTTCTTTGAATGATGAGGAGATAGTGAGCTTTGAGAATGAAACAGAAAAATAATTCAATATCTGATACGAGGTACAAATGAGCTAGATATCATTCCAATTGTCTTTCCCAACTGATGAAAATGGAAGTAGAATAATAGTAACAACTCGACTTGAGGGAGTAGGAAAGCAAGTCAAGTACCATAGTGATCCTTATTCTCTTCCATTCCTCCCACTAGATGAGAGTTGCCAATTGCTGCAGAAAAAAGTGTTCCAACAGGAAGATTGCCCACCTGAACTACAAGATGTCATTCTAGAAGTTGCAAAAACATGCAAAGGACTGCCTCTTATGGTTGTCTTGGCAGCTGGAATAATTAAAAAGAAGAAAATGGAAGAATCTTGGTGGCATGAGGTTAAAGAAGCTCTAGTTTCCTATGTTGGTGAGTCTGAAGGATATAGTCTTTCAACTATACAGTTAAGTTATGATAACTTACCAGATTATTTAAGACACTGCCTTCTTTATATGGGGGTGTTTCGGGAGGACACGAGAATTCCAGTGTCTAAATTGATAAGTTTATGGATCGCGGAAGGCTTCTGAAGAACATTGAATCTGGGAGGTTGGAAGAGGCAGCTGAAGATTACTTGATGGATCTCGTCAGCAGTAACGTGGTAATGGTTTCAAAGAGAAGATATAACGGTACAGTCAAACACTGCCAGGTTCATGATGTAGTTCTTCACTTTTGCTTTCAGAGGAGTAGAGAAGAAAAGTTTAATTTGGACGATGAACGGCCCCATTGTAACTAAGCTTTCAGAGTTAGCAATGAAGGGCCAGTTTCAACCTTCCAATTGGAATCTTCAATTTCACTGATGAGCCTTTCAAAACATGGAAGCCTTTCCACCAACACTTGAGGTCAGTGATAATGACCACTGAAAGAGTAATTCGTTCTTGAGACTTCTTAGGGTCTTGGATTTGAGTTCCTATAAAGTGAATATTTGTTGTCAGCTACATTGCAACCACTAATCTACCTGAAGTTCCTACCAGTGGTGTTTTGGAAAATGAAAAAAATTAAGGCATGTTGCGATTAGTTGGGCTGATTTTGATTTGGAAAACAATAAGCAGCGGATCTTTAAAGAATCCTCTAAATTGGAAAATTTGAGGATATTAAGGCAAGTTACATTTCCAATTCGTGATGCTGGTAGCATGGATGTCTTATTACGGAGGTGTCCTAATCTTCAAGAACTTGACATCTCTTTTTGGGGCGATGAAGATTCTGCACAGATTTGTATCAATTTAGAGAGTCTTACCCAGCTTCAAATACTTCGCCTTTCCATTTGCTCGTCCCAAGTTGTATCCAAGTTACACTTGCCTTTTAAGATTAAAGAAGCTGGTAGTATACACGAATAGCGTTGTATGCATGATTTCCTTCCTTGCGGGACTACCAAGTCTGGAGTATCTCAAATTAAGGGATCCAAGGTGGGGGAGAGTCAAAGGAACTTCAATCAGAAGAGTGGTGCCTCGGAGATATCACGTTCCATAAACTTAAGTTGTTAAAACTGGATCGCTTAGGTATCTCAAGGTGAGATGCCTCAGAGGAATCTTTTTCCCTTCTTGAAACACTTGTTATAAGATGGTGTAACGAGCTCGAGGAGATTCCCCCCCGAGCTTTGCAGATGTGTTTGAATTTGACAATTCCTTAGACAACTGCAGCAAAAGCACAGACAAAGTGAATGGAGTTCTCTCTTAGCAAATTGTTGTACCCATGCTCACGCTGGAGCCTATTATGCAGCTAGCCGCAACGCCCATCCTCTTATAGTCCCTTCACCTTACACCTTTTATGCTGCACCTGAATTTCGTTTGAGTTATATAAAAGTTTTTCCTGGTGGAATATATAAGTACATCTGCCAATCATCAACGAATCAATTTAAAATTTTAGCAGCATAGAAAAATAAGGCGAATTTAAAAATGATACTTCCAGAGCAAAAGCTGAATTGACAGTAAAATTCAAAAGTTTTGATAGGCGCAGGGGCTTTGCAGTGACTTTCTGGAGAGAAACAAGTTGACTCTAGAATTCTCGTATGAACAAGTGAGCAGTCTTAATATCTGGACAGAGAAAAACGAGTAAAATGCACATTCGATAACATCAAAACGAGTAAAAAAGATTCTAATAGATTTAAGTTATATACACCAGCAGAAATGCAGGGTAAGGCTGCGTACGGTACACCCTTATGGTCCGGCCCTTTCTCGGATCCCGCGCATAACGGGAGCTTAGTGCACCGGGTTGCCCTTTTTACACCAGCAGTTTGAATATTTTTACACTATCAGTGTAGTTAACCTATTATAACATGTAACTTATCATTATTTCCAGGTTACAAAGAGTACTAATTGTTAAGGATTACTTGTAATTGCTTTTTAAGTAACCTGATTATGTAATTACTTTCACACCATCAATAGAATTTAAACTCTTGTCCAATTACATGCTTAATATCTGCTAGTAGATTCAATGAAGCTCATTAATTTTCTTTTATGACAGAAATCCGTCTGGAGCCGACTCTTTGGGCCAATCAAGCCTTCAAAACTCGGGGATGACGGGCCTACACCTCTATCCTTCTCCACTTAAATACCAAAGTTAGTTTGCTGGCTCGAACCTATGATCTATGACATATTCTCTCAACCTTTGCCGATTGAGCAAATCCCTTAATCTAGATTGCTTATTGAAAATCTAACAATAATAACCAAAGCAACATCATTACCACCTCTGTGCCAACTTCCAGACATCTGATTCATGTGCTGTAGCCAAGATCAGAGCACCGGCATTTCTTGGTTCACTATTTACCTAAAATGGGAAGTATATATGTATATCTTACTCATTATCCTTTTAATTCTTAGTCCACTATTTGCCAAGGGTAAGTGGAAGGAATAATTGTGTTAAAAAAGGTGATACAACCAAATTTTAGTCTCTGCTGGAATTTTAACCCTAATCTCCTAGTATAGTTTCAATATATCTTCATCGTCACTAGGTCACACTCTTGAATGCTGAATAAATCATTTAGACATAAAACACATACAAATCTTGGATAAAATAAGTAAGACAACCACTAGAAATTAGACGTAAAAGAAAAAAAGAAGATTGCCCCACTTAGATAAAACTATTGAAATGAAAAATAAATAGAAGAAATAAAAACAGTACTAAGATTAGGTGGACAATATAAAGATTCACCATGAGGCAGGAAAAACTGAGCCCTGAAGTTACTTTTAGAGTGGCTTGCAACTATTCCAGGGAAATAGAATTACCCTCTTACCAATAGGAGAAAATTAACTTCATGGACTAATCATCTATTGAGGAAACCTCTAAAACTGGTGAAATAATAAAACTACAAATAAGTGATCCATATCTAATTCAATCTGAAAACACCTGACTCTGCATCAAGGATTTGACGTACAGGGGACACAGAGTTATCTATGTGTTTGCTAACCAGCCCGAGGAAGTTTCTTCAAGTTACACTTCACATCTTCGTCTATCTGCTTCTTCAACTTGTGATTTAGGCCCTCTGTCAAAGCTGATGATGATGATGTTAAAGAGGCCTTTAGCAAGCTCAATGCTTCCGACTCGCCAACACTGATCATTTGCTCTTCAATATCATTCATGGGCACATTCAGTTCTTGGAGTAAGCAAATAGTTGATGTAGAAGACAAAGGTCTCACTTCCAAATTGTCCATAACGTAGAAAAGGGAGGGTTCCTTCGCAAACTTTTGAAACTTGTGACGATAACTATTCCTTAGAAAATCATAATACCTTGGATCATACAAGTTATAAATTTCTGATTTTGCTTCAGAAATCTGCAGCAGCTGATACTCAGATTTATGGTGAGGGGCAATACCGGGCTTGAGTAATATCGTTTTCAGGTTGTCGTTAAGATTCTCCTCACTTCTGTAACAATTCCTTTTTGGAGGCGTATTGAACCATTTCGAATCTAAAATCTCCACACTTTTATAGAAGTTATCAATGCATTCCAGCCCAGAAATCCCCTTTAGAGCATCTTCAATTGATCCTATAGGAATGGTCAAGAAATTGAAGAGAAAATCAACGAATTCATTGCCTGCCTCTGCACACAAGACCTTGTTTGTAGACTTCCTTAGTGTTATCTTCAGCTCTATGTTCTAGGTGTTATTACTGGCTCCATTTTCAGAAATGGATGACAAAATTCCAAACTCCGACATTGAGATAGTGTCTACTCTTGCTCTTTTTTGTTTTTGCTTGGGCAGAAACACATCAGACAAAGGAGTCTTTGAGATAAATGAACGAGCAAGTAGATGAATCACCTAAATGGTCGAGAAAAGGATCATGTTACTAGCCACAAATGGCAATCTACGAGAATCACAGTAAAACATGTAAAAGCAACCATATAACCAGAAAGCATAATTTTATATCAAGAATGTAGAGTCACTAATTCGATGGTAAAAGACATTACCTCATTCTTGCCAACTTCAACATGCATTTCCTCAACCTGATTCATATCACTCAGGCCGACATTAGAAAGAATCTGAACAAGAGAGCTTGGAGAAGCACATTTGACTTGCAAATCATCAGTGATTAAAAATGATATCCCTCCTTTGAGAAAGACATACTCGTCGCCAACAGTATTTTCAACTGAATTTTTCAGAAACTTCTCTTTCGTAAACTTCCCTTCACATGAGCACGCAACATTCATGAAATAGCTGTGCTTTGAGCAATCTGAACACTCATAATACTTCTCGAAGACGGTATCATCTACGTGCATTTTTAACCTCATGCAATACTTTGGATAGGGATTTCTTGGATTTAGCAGCATGGTTTTGCATTGCTCTATGAACAGATCTTCCTCACTGAGGTTTTCAACACTTTGGTACAAGTTGTTCATACAACCAACAACTCCAGCCTCTGCTTTAATGAGTCGTATTATTGTTCCCAGTAGTAAAGTGAGAAGGCTAACGAGTATGTCCATAAAATCTACTTTGGCTTCAGCTGCAACAACTTGATCCTTCTTTTTGTCCACCAAAAGCTTCAATAGAATCTTAGATTCTTGCTTGTCAGCCATTTTAAAGCAGTTAACTGGTGACTCCCTACTGATGTAGCAAATGCCTAGCTGATCCGAGTCAAAACTAATTAGTCAAGAACCTCCATAATGTGAATAAAAGTATTTTCTGGCTTTCAGTTGAAGTATAAAGAAGTATGCAATTGTTCAAGATATGAATGAAGTCTGAATAACATAGATACAGACATGGGGTCACGGGTACTTTAAATATTAAGGGAACATGGGACAGGTTTTCCATGCTGTTATAGTTGACAAAGATGTATAATAATCAACAAATAATTATCCAAGGGATGATTACAATAACATAAACATGCATTCCAGATTCAAGATATACAAAATGAACATCCAAATACCACCATTTATCAAATGAAAACACCAAATGTAAACATAAGACCAAGTCAGCACAACATCATTCACCACATTTTTACAAGTCCAAAAGTACTAAACATTGTTCCCGAAAGCATAGATGATATACATCGGTTTTATTCTCTTTATGATGGTGTGCAGGGACCAGTCCGTGTGAATATTCACTAATTCATCAGAACAGCCTGCTAACTGGGATATGAACCTAAGATTTTCAAGCCATTACTCCTATGTCTCAATTCTTAAAAGAACTATTATTATTTGGTGAATCATTTTTTTTCTTGATTGTGAATTATGAAAGATTTTAAAGATGGTCTTAGCTATAAGAGTTGTGATTTATAGTAGTACTCTTACACAATATTTAAATATGTAAATAACCAAATTTAATTGACCCTTCGTATGCTAGACCGGCAATTTTTCTTCAACCGCAACTTTTACATATTAGTAGTTATCTATTTTTAGCTACTATAAAACTAGTGATTTTATAGTAGTACTTCTGTAAATCTTATTAAATACAGTAAAAATTAAGTAGTCTGATCCCTGAGAGCAGGGGTGGACACATAGACAAAGAGTTCAATTGAACCCAGCATTTTAGACATGGAATATAAAATAGACATTTAACAAAATACTATAACAACAACAACAACAACAATAAACACAGTATAATCACACAAGTGGGGTCTGGAGGGGTAGTGTGTACGCAATTCTTACCCATACCAAGTTTTAGTATTAAATTTTGAACCCATAATTTCAAAAGTCTAATGAGTTAAACTATAAAAACAAAGCGAATCGTTGATTTGCCTATGCCCGAGAACACACCAAAATTTTAGATAGTTAAACTCAAAAATTCCAATCGCATCATTATTTTAGGGACAGAAAGTAATACCATATCACATTATGCACAAATATCATAAGATTATAGTTAGGGTGGGTAAAAGTGAACTATATCATTCGCCACCCAGAAGCACTATGATAAGAACTAGAGTTTACACTAAATGCTAAATACTAAAGCCTCACTTGACAGGTATAACAAAAAGAAAATGAAAAAGGTAAAAATAAGAGAGAAATGGAGGCTGATGCTACAGAAGAAAAAGTAAAAATTACCTCTCTTAACAGTCTTTCTTCTTCTCCTTCGTTGTGCACTACTCTTCGTTACTCTAGGGTTTCCTTTTATACTAAAGCCTCACTTGTTATTTATTCCCGCTCAAATGCTTTCCATTCCTTATTTCCCGCTAAATAAAGGCTTGTCGGTTTTCGGTTTCTGCAACCGATACCGAACCAAAATAAGTTCGGTTTATCGGTTGGATCTTTCAATTTTCGGTTTGAAACCAATCCCCCCCCCCACCCCCACACCTCCTCCCCTCATTTTCTTTTTTCCCTTAAAAACCTGGGATACCGAAGGGATTAAACAAAAAGTTAATATTAATGCCGTGGCCAAACAAAGAGGTAGTAAACAATTCAAGATTGCAGACCAATCGGAGCACAATTAAGACAAACCAGATGAAATAAGTTATCATACACAGCAAAATTGTTGCTTGTTATGAAATATTATAATTATATTAGTGGATGTCTATAACTCCTAAAGAAGTTACTCTCACTACTTTTCTCCATTATGTAGATAATTTCCACTACTTCTCACCATTATAGTTATAACTCTCACACCTCCATAACATGCCCATGATCTTCCTCCATGATCTCAAATGTTTAATATCATGTTTATGGCATTCTTTTGTATACCTCTATATATTCCTATAAATAGAGGGTTTTGACACCATATTGTACACACTTGAATACATGAAAGAAATAAGAATCTCTCCTTTCTTGGTCCCTACATTCTTGTCAGTTTTTTTGTTTTATATTATTACTTTGAGTTAAGTTTCTTAACATTGCTTTATTTTCTAGTTTTACTATTTTCCTTTCCTTTTTTTATAGCTTCAAAGATACGTCACTATTTGTAATGGCAAATTCGGCCTTGTCACGTGGCACCATAAAATGACAACACGTGGTGAGTGAAGTTCCGGAACCAAAATGTGAGCGCGGGGGAGCTGTGACCGAAACCATCCCTTTATTCCGAAGCAAAAGCAGTCGAAGGAGAAAGCGCTCGAAGACGGCCAAACACTCCAGAGGACGTATTCAACCGTACCCGGACCCTGCCCGAGATCGTGGCTACCATCAGTTATGCTGAAGCAGTTCCCATTAGCAGAAATCTCGTTCTTCCACTAACCGTACCCTTAACATATATGCATGCTTGGAGCTAGGAACAGCCACGCTCCACCTCGATTATGAATATACGATCAATATAATTTGTAAAGATCATCGAAAAGCAAGTAACATTCACTAGTAGTTTCATTGAATTTATGCTATGTTCATCAACAACATTGTCTTTTTGTTATCGAGATTGTACCTCGTTCCATCATCGCAACCTACGATTAATAAGATTCCCTTTATTTTGATTTCTATCTTGTCGTGTTCATATTCACTGACGTTTATTTCGTTATATACACTTTGGATTGATCTGATTGCTAGAGGCCAAAAATATAAAATTAATTTTTTTATTTCTAAAACCAATTTTTGGGTTAAACGTACTATTAAGTTCTATTTTAACAAGGAATAAAGGGACAATATAAAAGACGGGTAGAAAGAGTTGTGATACTTAGTTTGATTTAGAAAATTATAAACTACAGGATAGAAAAGAATATACCAATCCGAAGGATCCGTAGGATTAATCGTGGATCCAAGAAAATAATAAAATGATTTGAGTCTTAGATTTTGATTTAGTTTTCTAGATTTTGTATTTCAAATCTTGTATATCTAAGTTTATACGGCATAGTAAAATTTATGCAATAGGAATAAAATTAAGTACCTAGAAAATAAGGTAGGTGATCTACTAAATATAAATTAAATTATATTATATTAAAAAATTCATATCATATCATTGTATATAAGTTAAATCCTAGTAGCAAGTTTATAGGTCACATATTCGAATTCCAGTTGGTTAAACCATCCAATGATATACCTTAAATCTTATTGGATAAACTCTTTGGCACAAAAATTGTCATTCCAAGTAAGACAATTGTTTTCTCAATTACATAAGGTTAGAAGCTACGTGAACTCTTGATCACGCCCAACTCTAGTCCTAAAAAGCATAAGCGGTAGCTGCAAATATATTCCGGTTCAAGAGTCCGGAATCGAATCCCATAGAAAACTAAGATTTTGCTATAATTGTTCAATATCACTAAGAAAGCAAGCTCGAATAATTTCTAAGTTTTAATTATTAAGATTCTTATGCCTAACTAATTGACTAACAAATTAAAAATAGCAAATTAATAACTAAAGATATTAAGGACCGGAGACAAAATTAAGGAGGTCTAGAGTTATGATTTCCATAATTGTCGGAATCCTTCCCGCTACGTCTTCTATAATTTCTCCTAACTATTCTCTACCGATCGTGAGTACTTTGGGTGTCGTAGCTCTCTCTCGAGCAACTATAATAATTTACTAGACGTATTCTCTCGAACTACGCTAGCTGGCACCAATTCACCGCTCACTACGATCGCACCAAGATTTCGTTATCTCTAATCCTGCATTTAAACCCTCTGTATTGATCCCTCACATACATTAGGAGTGATGTTGTTCAACAACTAGCTAAATGTGTACACTCTCTCGAGCAATATACACACTAAATAGGCAGAATCAATTGATGGCCATTCAATCAAGAGCAATAAACACGTAGTTGAACAAGTAGAGAAATCCAACGACTCAATTATATAAAAATGTCACATGTTATCCTACAAAAGGTTCCATAAAAATCCTAAATAATAAATTAGCTATTCATAATAGTATGCAAAATTACAATACTAGAATATATAACCAATAAGAAAAATAGGAAGAAGGAAGTGAAAATCTCGTAGAAGAATTCTCTGCCTTGCTCCTAGTGTGTTCTTGCCTCCTCGGGCGAATCCCTCCAAAAACATCTCCATCCCTTCAAAAGTGAGTTTAAGGACTATTTATATGTGATAGGGTTTGCATGGGGCGAAATAATATAAGCCCACTTCGGAATAGCCTTTTTAGGTTAGCTCGTTCACTCTCTCGTGCGCACGCGAGAGTGAACGAGCGAAGTTCTTCTCTTTTTCTTTACCTTCTAGGTATCTCGTGCACTTTCATGCCTTTTTGCCATTAGCCGCTGTTTTGTTTCTCAAGCTTTTCCTCAGCTAGCCCGTTTACTCTCTCGTGTGCACGCGAGAGTGAATGAGCAAGTCCTTCTTTTGTCTTTTGGTCCCGAATCAACTTCTTTTGCTCACATTTCGTTCAACTTGCTCCTACACATAAGAATGCATGTAATGGGCATAATTCACTACAAAAACTCATATAACCTACCGTAACCACACAAGTTATGATATGAAAGTACACCAAAAATATGCATTTTTGGCCGTTTATCAACACCCCACACTTAAACTCTTGCTCGCCCTCGAGCAACTTTCAAAATTAAGCACAATGGCAAGAAATACATTTTCAAATATACTCAAGCATCATACCATTGACAACGGCTTATACTAACACTTAGAACTCAACATATGAACTATTGACATCAAATTCAAACAGACCCCATGCCAAGACTATTTAAATTATTTGTGTGACTTCTTCTAACATCCTAACCTCAAGAGATGACTCAAATACATTCCTTACTATGACTCACTTCTTATGTCAACTCCAAAATGCCTGAAGTTTACCAATCCTTTGTAAATCATGTGCTCTCACTAAATCAAAGAGAGAAATTAGTCCACTCACTCAAATATGCATTTAAGTATAATGTAAGGACTTACAAATCGATAGAATTCAGTCAATCTCACAAAGAAATTCATGTGCATCCCAAGGTCGTACCATAGGCTTGCTAGTAGTGTATGCCTCTACTAATCTAAGCTTGCAAGTCTAGGATCAATTAGGTCTTTACAGGTTGTAATGTAGGCTAAGTGACGGGTAGGATATATTTGGGTATAGTGACTAACTCTCCTAAGTACTTTAGTACACTACACTTAACTTTCCAATACACACTCTTCATGACCAATTCAAGTAATTCCACGAAATCATATAAAATTTTGCCCTTCTTCTTTAAGCACAATTATGCATTGACTAGCTCGGATAAGAGGAATAGGAGGTGTATTTTCTATTTTTTTTTTTACTTTCTTCGATTTTTTCTTTTCAACAGTCTCCAAACTTGGGTTGCACGGCTAATGGTCTTTCAAAATATACGTCCACTCAAAAACTATCCCAACTCTCACCTTATGCTTTTAGCGACGTAAGTGCTTTCAGAGGTAAAGGTTCAAAAATATCTAATCAAGAACAGAAAAAGAAAAAGAAAAAGAAAAAGAGAATCGACTTGTAATTTAGGTGCCAAAGAAAAGGTTTATAGGCTCAAATGGGCTATCTAAGGATAATTTTATTTATGGTGGCATACTAGCTCAATGGACAATCAATGAAATGCCTACATCATCTCCTAAACTAACAACGCTTACTTATTTCGCTTTGAATAATACATGGGGCAAATTCTAGACTAACACATGATAGCACAGAATATAATCAAGACCTCACATCACATAATGCACATGATTCACTCCAGACGGCTCAAACCCGACACTCTAGTTAAAAAACTAAGCACAACCATCCTATTAATTCAACACATGTAAAGTAATCATAGGAGTCAACAAATGAACTTGAGCGTCAAAAGAAAGTCATATATATTCTCAAGGCATGTAGCCACATAGAACACGAAAAAAGATGATCAACTCAAATGTTACATCTCTAAGTCCCGACATAAAATATCTCAAAAAGTATTGATACTCAAGTTTTTCCATTCCATTATTAGTTCTACAGAAGAATGAAAAAGGACAATCTTTTTGCATTTTTCTTTAGACTTTAATCCTTCAAGAAAACTGTCAAAGAAGTCCATCATCGTGAAAAGTCCAAAACTTTTATGAAAATTCTACCTACAAAAAAGTTACTACCCGGTTCAAAGAGTCATCCCTTGGAAAAGAACCGTGGCCATAAGAAAAAACAAGGGGAATTACTTCTATCTATTTTTTTTAACATACATAAACATAGCACAAGAAATTATTTAGACAGTCTTCTCCCACCCTACACTTAAAAATTTGTATTATCCCTAATGCACACCATAAATAACAGGAGGGTAAAAGAAACTCCCTGGTAGAGCATTAGAAACTCATGGGGTACTCAAACTTCTCCCCGGCATTGGTCTTTTATGCGGGCACCCTACACTAAGTGTAATAACCCGGCCAGTCGTTTTGAGAGTATTATCCCCGATCC